AGGGCAGCCCTGCCGGAGTCCAACATGCACTGGAAACAAGTCTGACTTACTGCTGGCAATGCGAACCAAGCTCCTGCTCCAGTTGTACAGGGACTGGACAGCCCTTAGCAAATGGCCCCGGACCCCGTACTCCTGGAGCACCCCCCACAGGGCACTGCGAGGGACACGGTCGAATGCCTTCTCCAGATCCGCGAAACACATGTGGACTGATTGGGCAAACTCCCATGAACCCTCTGCCAACCTGAAGAGGGTATAGAGCTGGTCCAGTGTTCAGTGGCCAGGACGAAAATTGCATTGTTCCTCCTGAATCCGAGGTTAGACTATCGGTCAAATTCTCCTCTCCAGTACCCTGGCATAGACTTTCCCGGGGAGGCTGAGGAGTGTGATCCCCTATAGTTGGAACACACCTTCCGGTCCCCCTTCTTGAAAAGAGGGACCACCACCCCGGTCTGCCAGTCCAGAGGCACTGTCCCCAACAGCCATGCGACATTGCAGAGGCATGTCAGTCAAGGCAGCCCCACAACATCCAGAGACTTAACCCTCCTCAATTTGACCCGCAACATAACAGGAGGGTTAAGGTACTCAGGGCGGATCTCATCCACCCCTCGGTGCCCTGCCCCCAAGAAGCTTCTCAACTACCTCGGTGACTTCAGCTTGGGTGATGGATGAGTCCACCTCCGAGCCCTCAGCCTCTGCTTCCTCATTGGAAGACATGAATGTAACCTGATGCTGGGGTTGAGGAGATCCTCAAAGTATTCATTCCACTGTTCGACAATATCCCCAGTCAAGGTCAACAACTGCCCACCTCCACTGTAAACAGTTTTAGCAGGGCATTGCTTCCACCTCCTGAGGCCCCGGAAGGTTTGCCAGAATTTCTTTGAAGCCGACCTATAGTCCCTCTCCATGGCCTCACTGAACTCCTCCCAGACCAGAGTTTTTGCCTCCACAACCACCAGGGGCTGCAGTCCGCTTGATCTGCCAGTACCCGTCAGCTGCCTCAGGTGTCCCACAAGCCAACCAAGCTCGAAAGGACTCCTTTTTCAGCTTGATGGAATCCGTTACTTCCGGTGCGCACCACCGGGTTCGGGGATTGCTGCCACGACAGGCACCAGAGACCTTACAGCCACAGCTCCGAGTGGCCGCATCAGCAATGGAGGTGGAAAACATGGTCCATTTGGACTCAGTGTCTTCAGTCTCCCTCAGGATCTGGTCGAAGCTCTGCCAGAGGTCGGAGTTTAAGATCTCCCGGACAGGGGGTTCTGCCAAACGTTCCCAACAGACCCTCACAATATATTTGGGTCTGCCGAGTCTGTCCAGCTTCCTCCCCCGCCATCGGATCCAACTCACCACCAGCTTGTGCGGGAGGTTGAGAGGTACCGGCTAGACATATTCGGGCTCACCTCCACGCACAGCTTGGGCTCTGGAACCTTGCTCGCTGGACTCTCCACTACTCTGAACACCTGTTGGTGTAGTGTAATGTAAATATCCTGTTGGTCTGTTCGTGTGAATTCAGAACACAGGAAGAAATTCTCACTAAGGTTTTATAGTGTAGCTTTGTCATCTGAGAGTTTTCATTTTGTCAGTAGCAAAAGAATATGCGCACATTTGTAAGAAGCATTCACCTTGTTTGTTCAAATGAATACATGAAAAACAGCTAAAGTGGTGCCTACATTTACTTAATGAAACTAGTGAAAAAAGAGCCTGTAATCTTTGTAATTGGGCTCAAGAGGACATGGGAAATAGTGAGCATTTTCTACCAAACTCTACTAAGAAAATGAATCACTGTAAGAACATCACAAGCCTCTCAACACTGACAGCCTGGTGGAAAGTAAACAAAATCACTAAATCATCACTTGCACCATGGAGATACATTCCAATTTGGCACAACCCTGATTTTCAACTGCATAATAACCCTATCTATTTCCCAGCATGGCAACACAAAGGAATCATTCACTTACATCACCTATTTGAAAATAACCAGTTCATATCATTTAATACACTGATCCAGAAGTACGGAGTTCAAAGAGAACAGTTCCTCCAGTACAATCAGCTAAAATCCATAATTAAATCAAAGATTAGTGTAACCAATAACCCACTACAACCTTCCCATTAATTGAAGAAATTATGAAAATTACATCCTCCAAGAAAATAATATCCAAGCTATATAAACTCATATCAAATACAGACTCAACAATAACAATACCAAAACTCAAATAGGAAAATGATTTAACTCTCCCCCTCAACTCCGACTTTTGGACAGAAATTTGAAATAACATCTTTTCTATGACCAGCAATGTAAA